GGGCCACAGAACAGGTGGGGCTCTGCTTCCTCTCCCCACAGGGGGAGGGGGCTGACCAGTGACTTTGGCCTCTGGTTGCCCCCACCGGGTTCACTGCATCCTAGGGAGGCTGTGGGCACCAGGGTGCCACCTGGGCTCTATTTCTAATGACCTTTGGTGTTTGGCCCCAATTTGGGCACCAAGATGTGATCATTCCTTTCCTCTACAAGTGAGTCAGACACCAGGATGTGCTGCAGAGTAAGAGGGCCTGCAGCCTCAGCACCAGGGAGGAAGGCCCAGGGCTCCCGGGTCGTGGTGCTCGCGGCAGGAGCCCATGGTGCTGGGAACACTTGGACATTTGCTCTGGAGGGGACAGAGAGAGGTCGTGGTGAGGGCAGGGTTCTCAGGGAGCTGGGACGGAGGGCTGAAGGGGGTGTCTCTGAGGCCAGGGAAGCAGCGTTGGGACGGGAGAGGGAACGGGTTGGGGGACGGGGTGGGCCCCACCGCGAAGAGGCTGGGGTGGGCTCCAGGTCTGCCACCTGCACAAGGACAGGGCTCTGCTCCGAGTGGCAGCCTGTGCCTTCAAGGACCTCTCTCTGTGTGCCGAGCTCGGAGTTCACCGCCTTCTGGTTTCCTCCTCACAAACGCCAGCCGCCTCTTCAGCCAATCACAGAGAGGGTGGTCCTCCCCGACCAGTCCCACCGGATCCAGGCTTGGCCACAGGCGGGCTTGGCACTGCTGCCCGCAGTCCCCTGCAGACTCGAGGCCTGGGTGTCCGAGGCCTGAAGACGGCATCTTGGGGGGTGAGCACCTGGGTGCCTCAGCCCCATGTGCACCTCAGTCTCGGCACCGGGAGTGCCCAGTGTTGGTCACACTGCGTCCCCCTGTCTCACCTCACGTGCCCTGTGTCAGCCACGTCACTGCAGCCTCACCACATGGCATCCGGTCTGGTCCATCTGTGGTGTCCGTGCCGCTTGGTTTCACCGTGTGACGTTCCCGGTGAGCCCGAGTACTCGGCGAGTTGGAACTCTCCTTACATCCCCCTGGTGGGTCACCGGCCCTGGGTGGTCAGCGCTCTGGCCCACAGCTGGTGGCCATGGGCCAGCCGTGCAGACACTTTTCCTAGTCTAGTGTTTCCCACTGTCATCTTTACTGTTCAGAAATTTAGCTTTCCAGCTAGCTGAATTTGTTGAACTTCCGCTTTACAACATCTTCCTCCCTTCTGTCCCCGGAGAGGAAGTACCCCACACTTCGGGCAGATGCTCTCTCTTGGCTGCCAGTCCCTGTGGTGTTTTCTCAGTCCCGCCGGGAGCTGTGCCAGCCCCGCGTCACTTCCCGGCTGCCTCCCGTGTTCTTCCCAGATGCGTCCTGTCCTGCGGCCTGCGGTTGTCTGTTTTCTCCTGTAATAAACATCTGTTCTGACCTGTTCCCCGTGTTCTGTTGATCTCCCTGCAGTTTAGGGGTACAGGCGAGACTCCCCAGGGAGGCACCACTGCCTCCCAGCCCAGGGCCTGGCTGCAGAGCCAGACACCCACTGGTCACTGCCTCCGGATGTGTCTCTTGGGGGCTGCCTCACATTAACCAAACTCATTAAGAGAAAAGGAATGAGAAAAGGAATTTGCTCACTTAGGATGGGAGTGACCGCTGGCCGTGACAAAACACGTGTCCCTCTGTAGACAATGCCTCTCCGGCCCTAGATACCTGGGAAACTGAGATAGGACCCGTCGGTGCTCGAGGCCCGCAGTCATAACCCTGGAGGGCATCTGGGAGGCCCCCTGCCTGCTTCCTTGGACGGTCACCCTGGCTGGTCCTGAGTTCTGAAGAGCTCGAGTCTGTCCTGTCCTCTGCGCCCTTTGCCTTCTTCAGAGCAGCTGTTCTCACGAGGGGTAATTCTGTCCCCCAGAAGGGGCGTTGGCAATTCTGGGGACATTTTTGGTTGTCATCCCTGGGGAGAGGTGCTACTGGTGTCTGGTGGGTGGGGGCAGGGAAGCGGGTCAGCATCCTACAGCACGCAGGACGCCCAGCAGTGGAGGCCCGGCTGAGGGTGGGGGTCCCACTCAGACCCGTGAAGCTGGGTGAGGGCTACAGGGACGGGTCACGAGGACAGGGAAGGGTGAGCGCTGTCGGCCAGGTTTCAGACGCGGGAAAATGAGGAGAGGCAGCTTTCGGCAGAAACCTGAGCACCTGAGGTGCCCCTTCAGGCCGAGGAGCCTGGCAGGGCTCAGGGACAGGGGGATGGGTCCCCCTGAAGGAGGGGCAAAGGCGGGGGGAAAACATGGGGACTGGCTAAGCGTCCACAGGAGTAAGAGAGCCCCCAGGTCTCCCCACCCTCACAGGAAACGGGGGTGCCCTCACCCCGCCGAAACCAACCCAGGAGGCGACACGGTGGCCGGGCCCGCAGAGGGTGAGGGGCAGACTAAAAGGGGCACTGGTGCGCCGCGTCCACTCTGGTGGAGAACACGTCCAGGACAGAACTCGGCTGTGTGTGCCTCCATCACAAGCCCCTCCTCCTCCCTAGCCATCTGCCCTCTCAGAAGGCGGGCCTCCAGCCACACTCCAGCCTGAGGCCCAAGTCCTCTGCACACCCACATCCAGCCAGCAGCATGTGCTGGCAGTTCTGTTCCCAAGATGAGCCCCCAGCCTCCCCTCCATCTAACCCATCTCCCCTCGTTTCCTGCCTCCCCACAGCCCCAAACTGATTGTAAAATGTACGTCCATCTCCTCACTCCCCTGCTCAGGACCTTCACTGGCTCCTGGTGCACTGAAAATGAAACCCAGGCTCCTCCTCACTGCTTCAAGACCGCTTGCCCAGCTTGTTCCACTCTCCCCTCATTCCATGTTCCAGCTTGCCTGGTCTTCCTCCAAATCCTCCATGCGCTCTTTCATGCCTCAGGACCATTGCACGTGCTCTTCCTCTGCTTTGAATACTCATACCTCCAGCCTTTGTGTAAGTAGCTTGCCTTCCTCTCCTAACTTTCCCTCTCTCCCTCCCTCTCCCCTGATGTCTCCTCCTTAGGGACCCTCCAGGACACTCTCTCTAAGCCCCCATTGGCTCCTTACAGCTCTCACCACGTCTGTAGTGCAGGTGTGCTTGTGGTTGGTTGCTCTCTCCCACATGCTCCATCGAGGCAGGGACCTGTCCAGCTCCCCGCTGCACCCCAGCTCGTGGCCCAGGGCCTGGCACTAGGTCAGGAAGAGGGGAGCAGGGGGAATTCTTACAGAGCCTCCGGGGCTGGGACCCAGCGGTGAGCAAGGCTGGTGGAGCAAGTGGCTCCACTGTCTCCACCTTTAGTCTTCGGCAGGAACCGGCTGCTCCAGGTGCAGGCCCTTCCCCAGCTCCCATCCTGGTCTTGCACCCACCAAGGATGCCCCTCCCCACACACTCGCTTGGTCCTTCACATGTCCCTGATCATGCAGCCTTTCTCCTGCCTGGGCACCCACCTGGGGCCAGATGTCCCTCCCTCCCTGACAAGATCCTCAGGCTTGGGCTCCCTCCCTGTCCTGAGCACCCCTCCAGCTGGGGACCCTCTGGCTGTGGCTCCTCCCAGACTGTATTCTAGGCACCTACCTGCCCAGGCTCAGGGGTAGCTGCAGGCAAACAACCCTGCTGGACATCCATGCCTGCTGGACAGCTGCATGGAATCCTCCCCCAGCTGTTGGCTTTTCCCAACAAGACAGAGTGACGCTTAATTTTCTCTTTTTCAGGTTGTAAGAACAGCGCTGAGAGAGACTCTGGATGAACATCAGGAAATCCAGGAAGAAGCATTCGATGAGAAAATTTTGGGAACATCTGTGACATCCCTCAGGCCCTTGAGTTTGGGAACATGTTTAGATGGGCAGTTTAGAGGAGTATTCAAGACACCACAGAAAATGGAGAAAAAGAGAATCTCTTCAGCAAATTCCCCAGCAAATGACCGCCGTCCGTAAGAAACATCCCAAGGAGAGAAAGACCATACTGAGGAGGATTTGGGTGAGCCTTGTCCACTGAATTTGACACCCACTGCCGACAGGAGAACTCCAGGGGTGAAGCACCCTGCTGTGGCACCTCGCGTGTAAGATTCGCCTCTTACTCCGCAGCGAGGGTCCGCCCGAGTGTACTGACGGGGAACCTCAACCGTTCACACTGCAGCAGCAACGGGCAGGCAACGGCTCCATCCCTGCGGCACACGGTTCCAGCGCCCCGAGGCAGTCCCGCCCCCGCCCC